ATAATCAATGTTTTTTATAGTCATTATTTTGGTGTCATATGTAAAAAAATTTGCCTATCTGAAGGTCATAAAGATTTTCTTCTTTTTTTTTCTAGAAGTTTTATAGTTTTACCTCATACATTAAATCTATATCTATGTTGAGTTATTTTTTATGTATGGTATGAGGTATTAATCTAAGTTCATTTCTTTGCATGTGGATATCCAATTTTTCCAGCATCATTTGTTGAAAAACTACCATAACCAAATAACCCTGACACCTTTGCTAAAAATCAACTAATGAGTAATGTATTTATTTCTGTAGTCTCTAATCTGTTACATTAATCTGTATGTTTATCTTTATGCCAGTTCCATACCGACTTGATTACAATGGTTTTATAGTGAGTTTTGAGATCAGGTAGTACAGGTCCTCTAACATTATTTCACTTTTTCAAAATCATTTTGGCTATTCTAGGCCCTTTATATATCCATATAAATTTTAGCATCAGCTTGTCAGTATGTATAAAAATATCTGCTCAGATGTTGATAGATATTACATTAAATCTGTAGATAAAATTGGAGAGAATTGCCATCTTAATATTGTCTTTCAATTCGTGTGAATGTGGTATATTTCTCCATTTACTTAGATGTTATTATAATTTATCTCGATAATAGTTTGTAGTTTTCAGTATTGCTGTTGTTGTTAGTTGCCCTAGAGTCAATTCCAACTCATAGCAACCCTGTGTGTGTCAAGGTATAACTGTGCTCCATAGGGTTTTCAAGGTTGTGATCTTTCAGAAGCAAATCACCAAGCCTGTCTTCTGAAGCATCTCTGGGTGGGTTTGAACCACCAGTCTTTTGGCTAGTAGTAGAGTGCTTCACCGTTTGTGCCTCCCAAGAACTCCTTAGATTCCAATATACAGGATATGCATTTGTTTTTTTTAAATTATTTCTAAGTGTTTTGTTTCTTGATTCGATTGTGAATAAAATTGTTTACTTAATTTCATTTTTATAAATTTATTAGGACTTTCTTTAAACAAGATCATTTTATCTGTGCATAAGGACAGTTTTACTTCTTTCTTCTTTTCCAATATGTATGCTTTACTTTCTTCTTGCCTTATTGCACTGGCTACAACACACAATACAATATTTAATAGAAGTAGCAAAAGTGAACATCCTCACCTTGTTTCTTATCTGGGGGTAAGGTATTTCACCATTAAGGATGAAGTTAACTTATCCTGCTGTTGAATGGAGTATTCTCTATACATCAGTTAGGTCAATGTGGTGATCGGGGTGCTCATGCCTTCTCTATCCTTATTGAATTTGTATAGAGGTAGCGTCAAATACCTCAAGACCCCAAGGCACCCATCCTCTGCCAGCTTGGGTATGGTTTGATAAGCTTATTCAACGTTCAGCTGTTTTCAAGTTGCCCTTGCTTTTACTTTCTTCTGCACATGCTTAGGTCTCTGTATGCTTGTGTATAGTTTTCCAGTAGACCAGAAATGCATGGAGAGCTTATCTAACCCTTCTATGGCTCTCCAATTTCTGTGGTCTTCCCATGAAATGGCTAATGTGCCACTTACCCCAGCTGAGATTGATTAGTCTAGCAAAGAATTGCTTTTCCCCATTCATATTCTACCAAGTTCACCACTTTTAGCTGACAAATTAGCATGTTTTCATACAATAATCCATGGTGAGTCTGCTCCACTGGAAACTAATTGGAGATTTCACATCTTCCACAGAACTAACGAATCTCAAAGAATTGGTAGTTATTATGGGAACATAGAAAGCTATACAAAAGAAAAAAACACACACACACACACACAATTACTAAACCTAGGAAAAGAAAATTAGTACAAGGCACAAAATGTAATCGTCATGCACTATATAACTCAGCTGTGAATTATTGCTACCAAGTCATTATAATATGAACATTGAATATTGTATTAAAATTATGATATTATTAAATTGCAAAGATAGAAGGAAGGGAAAAGTGCATGGGAAGCCTGGGAACGTAAGTGAGATAAATCTCCACCTTCCGTATTAAGAAGTCAATAAGTATCTAACTAGAAAAAAAAAAAAAAGAATATCAGTATATTATTTACAAATATGGCAGAAGTAAAAGAAGCACTAAAAGTATTAAAATAGTTTACGTGGGGGAGTAAGAATCAGGAGTGGGGTGTGAACAGCGGGAAGTTGCTGTTCTATCTCCTAAGCCCATTAAAGCCATTTGATTTTTTTACAAATATGTTGTTACAAATCTTACATTTAAATTGTAAAAAATAAAATAACTTTGTCTGTTTGTTAGCATGTTGCTTTCTAAATATGTCATCTTAAAAGCCATTCTACTAACTTCCATTCCTTACAAACTGAAATAAATTGAAGTAAATTAAATTAAAACATTTATTAACTCACAAGAGAGAACTTAAACCCAGTAGGGAGCTTACGTGAATCAACAAAGCCAAAACCAAGCCCAAATGTGAGTTATGTCAATTTGTAAGAAATTCTTTCAGGAGATGAAACTCATTTTGTTGCTCTTCTGTTTTAACTAGTAAAATACTTCTGCCTTAGGATATACTTGCCTCATATCCTGCAATTTATTTTCCCTCCAGATGTCATCTAGGCTGAATGCACGATAATTGAAATGCATAAAAACAGATGTCACTAGGTCTCTGTCAGGCACTGAGCAAACGTTTAGATGTGTCATTACTTTCAGTAACTTTGGATGAATATCACAAGACGGGTGGGTTCATTTCCTAGGGCTGCCATTACAAATTACTACAGACTGGGTGGCTTGAGACAACGGAAATTTATTCTCTCATAGTTTTGGAGGCCAGAAGTCCTAAATCAAGGCGTCTGTAGGGCTGTGCTCCCTTTGGAAGCTCTAGGAGAGGATCCTTGCCTCTTCCAGCTTCTGCTGGCTCCCAGCATTCTTTGGCTGTGGCTGCGTAACTCCCATCTCTGCCTCCGTCTTCACATGGCCTCTCTGTGTCTCTTTTGGTGTCTTTTAAGCGCACTTGTCATTGGATTTAGGGCCCACCTGGATAATCCAGGATGATCTCATCTCGAGATCTTTACTTTATATTCCATCTGCAAAGATCCTATTTCCAAATAAGCTCATCTTCACAGGTTCTAGGGGTTAAGATGTGAACACATTTATATGCATCATTAAGTGGAAAAAGAAAGTTGGAAAGGCAGGAAGAGAATATTTTCAGGAAAAATTCTAAGGACTATTATTAGCTTGAAACTGTTACCAATGGATTTCTCTGTCTAAATTTACTGGCTTCATTTTCACTGTGTGCCAGGGAATTTTTGAAAGATAATGGAAGAAGTGAAACAGATTTAGAAGAGCCTAAACAACTTAAAGAATGCCTATTTAAAACGAATCATAATATTTGGAAAGAGTGCTAAGCACAAGTCAAACTCACTTTGTTTGCCTTGTGGCAACTGAAGTTGAGACAGTTGCTTGATGTCACATCTCTGGTTATGACAGATGTGGAATTTGAGGCTTCTAACACCATTCTATTAATTCCCACTGTTTTCCTATCACTGTTAACATGACAAATGCATTCAGTTGGATGTCTTAAGCATGTGTGAAAACAAATGCATCCTTAAAACTTGAAACTATTTACCATTGTGGAAACTAAATAGTATTTAAAATGTAGAAATTTTGAAAATAATTTGTGTTTGAATGTGCTTTTCTTTTCTTTCTTTCTTTTGGTCCCTTTTTCAGTGGATAACCTTAGGCAACCTGCTTAAACTTCTTTGCCTCAGCTTCTTCGGGTATAAACTAGAGGGGCTAATGTCATTGTTACAGGACTATTTTGAGGCTTAAGTGAAATAACCTAAGAGCCCAGCCCTGTGCCTGTACATTGTGACTGTTCAGTCAGGAGTAGTTCCTTTCCTCCTTCTCCCGGTATTGCTCACAAAGTATCAGTTCATCATACAGTATTTCTTGGATTGACCATCACTTGTAATGACGTCTCATAGAGGTAACTTTTTATCCGTGTTTATCAAGGTCTGTAAAGTCTTTCTCTTCCAGTTTCAAGGAAACTAGGTCCAAACCCTGCTCTGGCCCAACGCTTAGTTAGCATGCCTCTTCAAGAACGGAGGTGAGGGGCCTCTCCATTTTATGTGACTCTGGTTCTAGTTCATTAATATCATACTAAAGCCAGATGAGCTTTCAGAGTATGGGTTGTTGGGATAGAGAGATAAGAGAGAGACTTGTAGTTATATATCTATATATATTCTGCTTTTTAAGAAATATGATATCACAAGTTTTTCCCCATTTTATCAAAAACTTGCTACATACACCATTTTAATAAAATTATCTTGTCCTACTCTCTCGTCTGTTTGTATTTACCATAATTTGCCAACCATTAACATATTGTTATGCAACTGATGCCCTCCTCCCCTTTAGCCACGTATTTTCAAATAAAGCTTTGCCCACATTTTAGAATATTTCCTTAAGATAGTGTTCCAAAAGCACATTTATGAGGCCAAAGGCTATAAACATTTTTTAATATTCTTGATACTTATTGCCAAGTTGCTTTGCAGAAAAGCTGGTGTTCTTTTCTTTTGGGTTTAATCCCAAGACAATTCTGTGTAGCACGAGAAAGAAATAAGGTCATGTACAGTAATGGGAGCCTTAGTGTTCAACTGCCACAAATAGGTCGTGAATATTTCCATGGGAAAAAGCTCAAAGCCATGTATAGTGTTTACATAACGTGTAGGTAAAACTGGTTCACATCCTTCCTGGGATTCAACATTTAAATGCAAGAGAAGATATTGAATGGTCTGCTCAAGTCCTGAGCAGAAGGCAGCTCCATCCTCTCTGCTCTCGGAGATGTTTCTGCTGACCTGCACACTTGAATGTTTAGTTCAGAGATAATTTACAATAAACTCTTGTCACTTGAAAATAAACAGTCTGGACAATGTATGGCCCTTCTGGAGTACTGAGAAAATAAACAACCTAGGAGACAGTTGCTTCTTGTCTTTGCAGCCCATTTTGGACTGTGTGCTCCAAATACTTCACTTTCTTCCCAAGTAGAAGGTTTTATTTAAAATAAAGCTGTTTATTTGGCACTTCTGGGTGACCCTCTTTGAGAAACCACAGCAATGGATGGTTTTGGAGCCTTCCTTCGAAGAAACCAGTTCATCCTCCTGGTGCTATTTCTCTTGCACATTCAGAGTCTGGGCCTGGATATCGATGGTCATCCTACCACTGATGTCTGTGCCACACACACAATTTCACCAGGACCCAAAGGTGAGAAAAGGGAAAGAAAATTTCCCTCTATAAAGAATATGCTCTATTCCTTCATCCCAAAACCCCACCTTAGCTTCTTAGTGACTTTCTCTCTTCCCCTCTCTAGCTTTTTGTCATTTTCCTTCTCTTTTGGAAAAGCAGTAACTTGTTGCTTATTTAAAGCTTTCCCTTGTCCTTAGGTAAGAGAACATTGGAATGGGTTGGAATCTGGGGGCAGGGTTGTGAGGGAACTCACCTAGGTAGGGCAGGGGGAATTCCTTCTTCCACACTGCTCTAGGGGAAGACACACAATTAAGGCTTAGTGTTTGGGATCTTTCTTTAAGATCATCTCTATTCTTGGACTATTTTTATTCCAACTCATTTGTCATACTGATTCTGGTAAAGCTATTTGGTGAAACGTTAGGAGGATAGGAATCAAATCTTTGATATGTTCTATAAAATAATGGGCTCCGGGGTTCCAGTGAAAAGGCTGGGAAATTTTTGTTGGTTGAGTGTTGGAGGTAGTATATAGATGAATATTTCTTTATTTGAAAGTGGAGTCTTTGGAGCCAAGTGCCTTCAGCTGAAGGATGATAAAATATTGCAAATTTTTTTTCAAGTGGAGCCAAGGTCCAAATCTGCTTCAAGCAACTGGTTGATAAAAAAAATACTGCTGTTTTCCTGGCTTTAGCTGTTACCATTTTGTTCTGGAAGTGGACACTGCAGTACAGATGGATGTTCCCTTATTAATAATTCGTGCTGTTTCTCCGGGCTATGGAGTGGAAGGACTGAAGCTGCTTAAAATTTTAAGTAGAAAAAAGGGTCTTTCAAAAAAAATCAGAAACACATTGTCCTATGCTTGTCGGTTATTTAAATGTGTATTGCTTAAAGTGCGTTTTTTTTTTTTAATCAGTGAATTGTTTTCCTCCTAAGATTGCAATCTAAGTTTTAACCTTTGATACCATAAAGTAAATGAAGAGAGGAACAATGAAACCTCGGGGCTTCCAAATAATTTCTTGGGTGAATAAATGAATAATGTGAGGGCAAATGTTCAGAAAAGAAAGTTTTGATTAGAAATAAAGTATTTACTTAAAAACGTTACTGGATTTTCTATACCAAAAAATAAAATAAAATAAAACATTGCTGTCAAGTCGATTCCGACTCATAGCGACCCTACAGGAGAGTAGAACAGCCCCATAAGTTTTCCAAGGAGTGGCTAGTGGGTTCCAACTGCCGATCTTTTGGTTAGCAGCAGAGCTCTTAACCAATGTACCACCAGGGATTTTCTATAGAGTATACGAGCCTTTGTATTATTATTGGCGTGTTAGGGAATAAGGAGGTGGGAGGGAGGGGGGTCCTGAAAATTTAAGTTTTCCTTCTCCCTGTAAATGGGAGAATCCATTTGAAAGTGGCACTGTTAAATAATTTTCCTTGCACAGAAACTGCAACTTTCAAACTGGAAAAAGAAAGGATGAAGTGTTGTTAAAATAATGTCAAAAATATAATGCATTCTTTTTTTTAAAATTTTTTTATTGTTGTAGTTTAAATGAAGTTTACATTTCAAATTAGTATCCCATACAAAAATTTATACATACATTGTTATGTGACCATAATGGCTCTCCCCATACTGTGACAACACACTTCTCCTTTCCACCCCTGATTCCCCATGTCCATTCAGCCAGCTCCTAAACCTCTCTGTCTTCCCATCTCACCTCCGGACAGAAGCTGCCCGTTTAGTCTCTTGTATCTACTTGAGCTAAGAGGCACACTCCTCACGAGTATCACTTTATGCCCCACAGTCCAATCCAATCCCTGTCTGAAGAGTTGGCCTCGGAAATTGTTTTAGTTCTGGGGTGATAGAGAGTCCAGTGGCCATGCTTGCTGGGGCGCCTCCAACTCAGTCAGACCATTAAGTCTGGTCTTCTTAATAGAATTTGCATTCTGCATCCCATCATTCTACTGCTCCATCAGGGACTCTCTGTTGTGTTCCCTGTCAGGACGTTCGTTGGTGGTAGCCGGACACCATCTAGTTCTTCTGGTCTCAGGCTGATGAAGTCTCTCATTTATGTGAGACTGCCTCTTGGACTAATACTTTCCTTGTGTCTTCAGTGTTCTTCATTCTCCTTTACTCCAGGTGGTT